TTCAAGAGACTTAAAACGGATCTATGCCAGCCTCTAAGAGCTCCAAGAGCCTCAAAACTAACCTATGCCAGCCTCTTACAGCTTCAAGAAATTTAAAACTGACCTTCATCAGCCTCTAAGGGCTCCAAGAGCCTCAAACCCCATGTATTCCAGCCTCTAACGGCTTCAAGAGCCTCTAAACAGATAGTCGCCAGCCCCTAACAGCTCCATGAGACTCAAAACTCAGCTTTGCCAGCCTGAAAGCCTCCGAACTGACCTCCCCCAGCCTCCAACAGCTTCAAAGGCCTCCCATTAACTCCAGCCGGCCTCGGGGAATGCAGAGGTCGTTTGACACAAGTGATCTCATTGTGATACCGGAGACCTTTCTATGACTTCCATTGCACAAGAACCCGGCTTGTGTCTCAGCCCGTCACATTTCCGAGCCCGCAAGCCATTGGAACTACAACCCCCAGCATGCCCAACCCCTTTTCCAAGCAACCAGCCATGCTTGGACTTGTAGTTCTGGGCCTGTTGGGTTCGGAGGGGGGGGTGAGATGAGGAAGCGCAATGGACGCGGCGTTGGGGGAGCAGAGAGCCGGATTCTTTGGCCTGGAGGAATGTTCTGCGCTCTGGATCCGTGTCCCAGGAAAAATGCGCTTTTCCTGCCCCGTACCTCCAATTAAATCCACATGTTGCAGCGCCACCCCCTCCCCCTCCAAGACATGGCGCCCGCCGCATATAACCCTTTCCTCCCCAGACTGTACAACACGGCAGCCGACTGAGCCTCCGGGGCTTCCACTGGCCTCGGGGCTCATTCACACAAGTGCATTAAAATACTCCAATCCTCCCCTCCCCCCCTCTCATCATCCATTTTTTATTACACATCTTGTTATAGACCCGGTGATGTCATCACTGGATTTCTGTGCTTCTCTATGCAATGCAGGCAGATCATGGCTGGAGGGGGAGGAGCCTGCAGGGTGGTGTACATAGCGTCTTGAAAACATCACACCTGCCAAGCTCCTCTCAAAAGCCCTGATGCAAGCAGTGGGAGGAGTTATACAAACACGGATGGGATGCGGGCAGGGCAAGGACGGTGGGAGGGGCCTGAAGGGGGGGTGTACATAGCTTCCTGACAACATCACAGCAGCCGGCCTCAGTTCTCCTCTCAAAAGCACTGATGCAAGCAGTGGGAGGAGTTATACAAACACGGATGGGATGCGGGCAGGGCAAGGCCGGTGGGAGGGGCCTGAAGGGGGGTGTACATAGCTTCCTGACAACATCACAGCAGCCGGCCTCAGTTCTCCTCTCAAAAGCACTGATGCAAGCAGTGGGAGGAGTTATACAAACACGGATGGGATGCGGGCAGGGCAAGGCCGGTGGGAGGGGCCTGAAGGGGGGTGTACATAGCTTCCTGACAACATCACAGCAGCCGGCCTCAGTTCTCCTCTCAAAAGCACTGATGCAAGCAGTGGGAGGAGTTATACAAACACGGATGGGATGCGGGCAGGGCAAGGCCGGTGGGAGGGGCCTGAAGGGGGCTGTACATAGCTTCCTGCCCAGGAACGCCCACTCCTCCAGCTGGACACCTGCCCATCATTTTGATATTTGCATAACCCCCCCTCCCCCCAAGAGCCGGCCCACTGCTTGCATGAGGGCTCTGGAGACGAGTACTGAGGCCAGGTGCCGGCTCTTGGGAGGAGTTATGCAAATATCAAAATGATGGGCGGGTGTCAGTTTGGAGGAGTGGGCGTTCCTAGGCGGGATGCATTTCCACCGCAGCTCCCGCATGTGATTGCTGAGCCCTCATGATTGACAGGACCCGAATCCAATGAGTGAAAAGGGCGGGGCCGAGGGGCGGCCGGGGCTAGGAAACGAGGCGGAGCTCTACCTGACTTTCTGCAGCTTCTAATGCACATTGCGAGAAGCTCGCAGTGTGCAGTGACACCGGAGGAAGCCTTTTCAGTCCGGGAGAGGGGCCGGCGTCGATCTTCGGAGCCGAGGGAGCCGCGCGTGTAATTACGGCAGAAAGCCGATGAAGGCTGAATGATTAACTGGGAGCCGAAGTGGCGGCGTCAGCAGAAAGCGCGGCGGCCGGTGACACATTCCTCAGCCGAGGCGGGGGCTCGCGGTGACACATTCCTCAGCCGAGGCGAGAGGGATCACCGAACAACTTTTGGTGTACGACACAAGAAAATCAATAGATATTCATCATTGCGCCCCCCCTTCCCATCCCCCCCCCCCCGGGCGGCGGCCCCCCATGTGCAGGCTGGTGTTACCTTCAGTGTAATGTTCTGTTACCACCACCCAGGCAGCCTCTCGCCGCACACTCTCTGCTTTTAATAAGACTTAATTGCATCTCATTTGCATGAAGGTTCGGATGCCTCTCATGTTGCACGCCCTCAGGGGGGGTCCCCGAACAATGGGGGTCTTTTATGGCAGCTACAGCATGCCTTCACCGGCCCTGGGGGCCCAATTACATCAATCAAATGCCTCTGTTGTCTTCCTTTGAACTACAAGTCCCAGCATGCCCTGCCGACCAGGTCTAGCTGGGGCGGAATTCGGCTTCCTCTCCTGGACTGAATGCTGCACACTGCGAGCTTCGCACAATGTGCGTTAGAAGCTGCAGCAAGTCCGATGGAGCCCGCCTCATATCCTGGCTGGAGGACGTCCAGCATCATGTAGCACTTTCCTCACCGGCCTGACTGTCCCTAGTCCCCGCCCCCTTTCATTCGTTGGATTTCAGTTCTGTTAATCATGAGTGGATGGCATGCATTAGCCACCACAATGCAACATACATGGTAACACACATGCATGGGTGTTAATGGGCACTAGAACAAATGTACCATGACCTATGGTGACGCGCATTGTGAATAGGCCCTGAAGACGTACCCTTTAAAGGGCCAGTCCACCCAAAGCTGATATTTCAGTGCTCGGTGAAACGTTAACCTCTGGAACTCTATTGGGGGGGGATCTCTACAGGTCTGCTGTGCCCATTGTGAGGGGCTCCCACCATCCCTGTGCTGAGTACCCGGGTCTGTACACCCGCTGTGCCCATTATGAGGGGCCCCCACCATCCCTGTGCTGAGTTCCCGGGTCTGTACACCCGCTGTGCCCATTATGAGGGGCCCCCACCATCCCTGTGCTGAGTTCCCGGGTCTGTACACCCGCTGTGCCCATTATGAGGGGCTCCCACCATCCCTGTGCTGAGTTCCCGGGTCTGTACCCCGCTGTGCCCATTATGAGGGGCTCCCATCGGTGGACATGAACAGAGTCAGAAATCATGGTGGGGGAATCCAGGGGTTGACAAGGCCTACTTGGCTCCACCCCTTATGCCAATATACCTTGTCGGTGGACTGACCCTTTAAGTAGAAACGCTGAGCTGGTCACCAGTAGCACATGACTCTCCTCCTGCCCTGGCACTGATGTTGGATGCTGATTCTGCAGACAGCTGTGCTGGTGGGAGTTTTGTTTTCCAGGCTCAGTAATGTGGCCTTCTGGGAGGAGGACAGGACGCAGAGGGGCACACCAGGATCTCTTCCCGTTTCCCTCTCTCCGGCCTGCCATGGTGCGGAAGGCAAAGTGTTAAAAGCGTGTGCCAACTACACAACAGCACCGCATGGCATATGAATGGACCGGAGGGTGGGGGGTAATTACAAAGTGCCCTGCGCACTCGGCGTGCGAGCGGAGGAGCACTTTGAGCTCTTTGACAAAAATTGCTCTGACCTATGACCCTGACGCATGCTCCCACATACGTCTCGGATCGTACAACCGCCTATTGATCAGCACACCCATACACCCATATTGAGCCAAAAAAATATTTTTAGTTGCTCGGCGACTGGCGCCAAAGTCGTTTTCCAAAAATGGGATTTTTTTCGGACGTCCGGAATTTTTTTCCCCGCATGCGCGTATTAGCGAGCGGCGACCATTTCCCAAAAGCGCATTTGGTTTCCGGTTAATGAAAGCAGCTCGCATTTTTTTAACGACCAATCGTACGAATGAGCGAATCTGCAAACGACCAGCCGATATACCCCCCCCCTTTCGTCGTGAGCCAGCTCG